GTATCTGGGCAGTGAGGTAGCTGCTTTCTCCTTCACGTCTTTGGGTTACTAGAGCAACTTGTCAGTAGATTAAAAAGAAAGAAAAAAAGACAATCTTTTGCATTACTTAAGTATTTCCAAGACATGCGCTGGTACAACACAAACTTCTCCTGTTAGATGAAACTAGTCTAGTTAGACTGAAAATCTTAAAAGGGAGCAGAGTACTTCATCTTGCTACCAGTGCTCTTCAAGTCAACACCATCAAGTTTGAACTGACTCCTAGCTGACACTTTAAAGAGTTTTCAGAGGCAGTAAATTGTAGTGGGAAGAAACTGCCCATCCTTCTCCTGAGGATCAGCTGGTGGATTTGAACCACTTGCCAATGAGGCAGGCTGCATAGCCCTATATCCAGCAGGCCACCAGGAGGTGACTATTTCTAAGAATGTGAGGCAAACGGACAAACAAAACAATCACTCTTGGCCTGTGTATATGTCTGAATAGGTGTATTTGTGGTAGTAATTACAACTTTTCCGTGCTGTCTTCAGTAACAGTTATTAAATTTACATGTGTGGAAAATGTTCTCATTGAGCATTTGAAATATTTGCTAGTCAAAGCTGGATGGAGACCTAGCAGTGAAAAAGGAAGTGGACTCTGAATCTACCCCGGGAAGGCAGGGTAATTCATGCAGGAGGTTGTTTATAAGGAAGTGGGTCAAGAGTCCCAGCACTTTGTAGAACTTGCAGTCAAGCTGCTGTGGTTTCAGTTGAGAGAAGGGATCATCCCGGGCAAAAGTGAGAAAAATATGGAAGCAACAAGAATCCCTTGTGGTAGGTAGTAGATAACTGCACGCTTATATAAAAAATCAACAAATAACTGCATCAAAGTCCTAAAAAATTTAGGTAGTATTTCAGACCTCGCTGGAGAAGCTCAGTATCAGCAGTGAAAACCAGAACAGGTGCTGATTGTGGGACAGACCACCAACTACTCATATGCAAGTTCAAGTTGAAGTTGAGGAAAATTAAATCAAGCGAGAACCAAGATTTGACCTTAAGTCTGTCCCACTCGAATTTCAAAACCATCTCAGGAACAGGTTTGAGGCCTTGAGCACTAATAAGCATAGACCAAATGAGCTCTGGGAGGATATCAAGAAAATCGTCCATGAAGAATGCAAAAGATCGTTACAAAGGCTGAAGAAGAAGAAAAGACCAAAATGGATATCAGATGAGATGAGTATTGCATTAGAGTGCCGAGAAGCCAAAGCTAAAGGAAGAAATCAAGAAATCAAAGAGCTGAACAGAAATTTCAAAAGGCAGCTCGGGATGACAAAGCAAGATACTATAATGAAATGTGCAGAGAGCTGGAGTCAGAAAATCAAAAGGGCCAGACTCGCTCAGCATTTCTTAAGCTGAAGGAGTTGAAAAACAAATTCAAGCCAAGGGTGGCAATACTTAAAGATAGTTTGGGTAGAATGTTGAGCGATCCAGGAAGTATAAAAAGAAGATGGAAGGAGTACACAGAGTCACTGTATCAGAAGGAAATGGCTGGCACAGAGAAATTTCATGAAATAACATATGAGCAAGAGCCTATGGTGATGAAGGAGTTCAAGTTGCTATGAAGGAATTAGCAAAAAACAAGGCTCCAGGAGTTGACAGCATACCAATGGTTTTATTTCAACAGACGCTGCCCTGGATGTGCTCACTAAGTTGTGCCAGGAAATCTGGAGAACAGCCAGCTGGCCAACTGACGGGAAGAGATCGATAATTGTTCCCATTCCAAAGAAAGGTGACCCAACAGAGTGTGGAAATTATAGAACAATATCATTGACATTACATGCAAGCAAGATCCTGCTGAAAATTATCCAAAAATGTGTGGAACAGTATGTCAACAGAGAACTGCCAAATGTGCAGGCTGGATTTAGAAGAGGTCATAATACTAGCGATATTATAGCTAATGTTAAATGGATCTTGGCAGAAAGCATAGAGTACCAGAAGAATGTCTGTCTCTGCTTCATTGACTATGCAAAGGCTTTTTACTGTGTGGATCACAGCAAACTGTGGTTGACCCTGAAAAGAATGGGAATCCCAGAACATTTGATTGTGCTAATGCGAAACCTATACTTGGATAAAGAGGCAGTCGTCAGAACAGAACAGGGAGACACTGGATGGTTAAAAATCAAGAAAGGGGTCCGTCAGGGATGTATTTTGTCTCCATATCTTTTCAATCTGTATGCAGAACAGATCATCCGAGACGCTGGGCTGTATGAGGAGGAATGTGGCATCGGATTGGTGAAAAAATCGTCAACAACCTGCGTTATGCAGGTGAGACAATGCTGCTTGCTGAAAATGAGGAGGACCTGAAGCGCTTCCTACAGAAAGTCAAGGACTGCAGTCTTCAATATGGATTGAAGCTCAACATCAAGAAAACAAAGATTCACACCACTGGGCCAATTGGCAGCATCAGTATGGATGGTGAAGAGATTGAGATAGTTAACAGTTTTCGTTTACTTGGTTTCACAGTCAACACTCTTGGTAACAGCAGCCAGGAAATCAGGAGATGAATTGCATAGGGAAAGTCAGCTGTGAGGGACCTCTCATGAGTACTGAAGTGCAACAACGTCAGGCTGGAGACTAAGGTGTGCCTGATCCGGGCTATAGTCTTTGCAATTATGTGCTATGTGTCAGAGAGTTGGACAGTGAATAGGGATGATAGAAAGAGAACTGATGCCTTTGAGCTGTGGTGCTGGAGAATAGTGTTGAATATACCATGGACTGCTAGGAGAACAAGCAGGTTTGTCCTGGAGACGGTGAAGCCAGAATGCTCTTTGGAGTCAAGGATTCTGAAGCTTCGTCTGACATATTTTGGGCATGTTGCAAGGAGGGACTAGTCCTTAGAGAGGGACCTCATGTTTGGGAGAGTGGAGGGGCGGTGAAGGAGAGGAAGGCCCTCGATGAGATGGATCGATTCTGTGAGTGGGGTAGTGGGAATGAGTGTGTTTGAGACGGCGAGATTGGCACAGGATAGAACGGCATTTAGGGCTCTTGTACATAGGGTCGCTATGAGTCGCAAGCGACTCGATGGCACATAACAACCACCACCACCACCACCACTATGTTGTTGTTGTTAGGTGCTGTCGAGTTGTAGATGACTCACAGTGACCCTATAAACAGAAGACCTGAGCACTGTTCATAGAGTTTCCAGAGGCAAGCCATTTCGGAAGTAGATGCCACTCCTGCTTCCAAGCTTGTTTTATTTGGGAAGCTCCACCAAACACTGTCCATCATGGGTAACCATTATCACATCTGGCAAATCAGTGTCACAGTGTTTAGAATCCCAGCAACCACAGATTACCTCTGTACAGCAATGCACCTAGAATGTTTCACAAAAAAACAAAAAACAAAAAAAAGCCGAACCAGGCCTGAGGGCTGCAGACTAAAACCACTCACCTTGGTCTTGGCAGCATAACTTTCTGTCCTCTAGGCCAATGTAGGTCTCTCTATGTTGTCGTTGTTTTTGTTGTTAGGTGTTGTCCAGTTGTAGACGACTCATAGCAACCCTATGAATGGAAGACCTGAGCACGGTTCATAGAGTTTCTGGAGGCAAGCCATTTCGGAAGTGGATGCCACTCCTGCCACTATGAGCCACTACCAGTAGTTGTTTTTTTCTTTTTTGGTGTATGTGAGGATATCTTTTAATCAAACTGAAGTTGCCAACAATTTCATTTACTTGGATCCACCATCAATGCCTAATAATTGGATCCACCGTCAATGGTAGCAGCAGTCAAGAAGTCAAAAGAGGAGCTGCACTAGAGACATTTGCTGTTAAGAGGACTGCTACAAAATACTAACGAGCAAGGATGTCAGTCTAAAGACTAAGATGTGCCTGATTCAAATCTTGGTATTTTAAATTGCTTCCTACACATCAGAAAGTTGGAAAATGAATAAAGAATAATAAAGAAGAATAGATGTCTTTGAATTGTGTTAAAGAGTACTGACTATACTATGGACTGACAGAAGAACAAACCTGGCTTGTGTTCATTAAAGACAAGGATGGCGAAACCCTGTCTCACATACTTTGGGCCTGTTTTCAAGAGGAAAGCTAAAGGGCTGACAAAAGAGAGGAAGACACTCGACAGAACTGACAGGGTGACAGACTCAGCCTAACTCCCACAATGTGCATGAACATGACAAAGATCACGAGGATGATGTAAGGCAGGGCGAGGGTCAGATGTGTTGTTTACGGCTGCTATGAGTTGTAGGCAAAGTGACATCACCTAACAACACCATTTGAGGAACTCTGATGGTGTGGTGCATTTCATGCTGGGCTTCTAATGGAAAGGTTGGCAGTTCAGATCCACCAACTGCTCCTTAAAAGAAAGATGGGTAGTTTCTTCCTGTTAAGATTTACAGTCTCAGAAACTTGATAGAGAGAGGGTCGCTATGAGTCAGAAACTACTCCCTGGCAGTTGGTAGCCAATGTCCTGAATGCTTTAATGTTCAGTGACTAGACCTAGTTCCAGGAGTTCTTTCTTAAAGACATCTTTAAAGAACCAGTGTCACCCCAGTGTTCTTATTTTCTGTTCCCATTTTGAGGTCCCTAGATGGCACAATTAAGAACCTGACCACTGCCTGAAAGGATGGTGGTTAGAACTCACCGAGAGGGTCTAGAGAAGAAAGCAATCAGCTTCCGAAAGGTCACACCCTTGAAGACCTATGGGGTGCAGTTCCTCTTTGCAACACACAGAGCCACCATGAGTCAGAGTGAATCCACAGCAAACACCAACAGTCCCAGTGATTGACTGAATTGGTTTCAGCTGCTCGTTGACTCTAAGTACTGCTGAGAAGAGTTCTTTTGTACTTAGGGAAGGGATGTAGGATATGGGGAGGGCAAGGTCTGTCATGTCAGCAGAAGGCTGAGGCAAGATCAGCCGCAGTGTGGAGCAGGAGATGAGGGCCACACACTCTGCAGGTGATCTCGCCTCCTGGGCAGCACTCACTGGAGATGATAAAGACCGAGACACTTACCTGAAATTTCTGGAAGTGTGGGCTTGTCTTCTTTCCAGAAGTTCCCATCACAAACAGGAAGTCTGGGGTTAGCACAAACGGCACTCTCTCTTTATTAATGCCCAGAAAGCTTTTGTAATTCCCAAGAATGTGCCCAAAGTCAATGTGAAACAGATTTCCTTAACAGAAGAAAATGTGTGACATCATTACACTGGCATAAGTACTTGAAAACACAGCCTCTTGAAATAGCTTTTAAGTTGCCTGAAAATGAGCTATCTTGGGTGGGAGAGCTATTTTTTTACACTATTCAATCAGCTTCTGGTATTTGTTTTTTTCTTCTCGTCTTAGCAGGTGTGTGAAAGCAGTCTCCACAAAGCACCCTTTGAAACAAGTGTGCTTTTGATAGTCTTCCAGTGTTCTTTAAATGGCAGCCAAATGCCATTTACAAATTCTCAGAATTATTCTTAGAAGTATAAATTAAACTCTGGCTAATATGTCATCATTACGTGTAAGATGGGCTCATGTTATTACCTCTTTGGGTTTCACAGAGAACAAACCAATCCAGTGCTCTTTCTAGGTTCTACTTTTAACTTGGTTTGAATTTCCTAGAGAAAATTCTCAGTGTAGTGGGAATGGACATTTTGGGAATGGACAGTTAAGCAGTGAGGAGTGGGTTAGATTGATGAATATCCATGAGCTCTTTTTGTTGCTTCTCTATAGCATCTGGTGAGGCCACTCTCACCTTGCCTAGCTTCTGAAATATAGTCTTATTTTAATCTTTCTGCTCTCTGACCATTCTTCTTAAATTCACTTGCTGTGTCTCCTTACATCATAGATCTTCAAGGTGGTTAATCTCTCCAAGGTGACATCATCTGTGCCCCTTCCCAGCAGTGACTTCTAAAAATAGGCTCCAACCTTGAATGCCACTTAAAAAAATCAGAGTGCCACAAATGAGACTTACCTGTCTCTGTGATCATAATATTGTCATTGTGTCTGTCTCCTATTCCAAGAACAAAGGTTGCTACACAGTAGCCAGCACAGGAATAAACAAATCTCTCCACTGCTGCCTGAAACTAATGAAATGCATCTGAGTATTAGGTATGTTTTATGTACAAGGAGCAGTATGAATCTATTACAAATGACTCCCCAAAAGATAGTGCCTGGGAACCCATTTTCAGAAAGCAAGTAAGAGCAATGCTTGGTTTCATTAGGGTTCTCTCTGTTAATTGCTAGCATTCTCCTTGTTCTACTTGTATTTTCAGGGAAGATCTAATGCCTCAAAGTGACACAACAAGGAAACTGGAGTCAAAGGACAATGGTGATTTAATCAAAGGCTCACTTCCTCTCTATGCATCACTTACCAGTACTTAACTGGAATTCATAGCCACTTCTTCACTGGTAAAGGGAAGATTTGCTCGTTAATACTTACAGTATGCAGAAGTTCATAAACCCACATGTACAGCAGACTAATAAATGCTACTGATTTTATTTCCTCCACAAAAGGCTGCTAAGTACACAAATGAAAAGTGCTGAGCTTGTGCAGTAGAAGTTTAAATGACAGTCAAACAGCCTAATCACACAGCTTGTGAAAGATCCAGCATATGCACTTTGCAGGGATGGTGGAACTGACATTTTCAGCATCCATAATTTACCATTTGGATTACTGTGCACTGGGAGATTATAAATTGCTTTATAGGGTACATGATATTTTTTCCTAGGTAGTAAAGATTGAGTATGTTTCCTTGCTGTTGTGTGTCCTGAGAAGACATGGACTCATAACAATCCTGTCGGACACAGTGGAACTGCCCTGTATATTCTTCACCAAGGCAGACTGTCAGGCCTTTTATCCCATGGAATTGCTAGTAGGTTCAAACCCTCGATCTTCTAGTTAATAGCCAGTCTTATAATCAGGGCATCTAATTGCTATACCTGGTAACTAAATTTTCAGAAGGGCAGATGCCCATAAAAGGTATGACCTGATTATTTTACAGAACCAAATTTTATGCAAAGCATGCCTGATAAGCAAAAGAGAGGAAAATGAGCATGGCGTCTTGAACTGACGACCTCTGCTTACTGTGTGGGGAAAGAGCTGTAAACCCAGCAAGTTCTGAAGGGAGGCCTTCACTCATGACTGGAGGCATGTGATGGCAGATCCTTTGGAAATGGGAACCCACAGTTATTTTGTAAATGACAACTTGTAAGAGGTCTTGAGAGCGAAGTACACAAGCTCACCTTTTCTTCAAGTGGGCATTTTTCTTTGAGCCAGTGATTTAGGACTTCGTCTTTAAATGCACCGGTGTTGCCCACTGTGCTTTGCTGAATTTTGGCAATTGTCGTGGCATCCTTCACGATCTCGATCATTCCTACAGGAGGATGCACAGAGCTTGATGTGGATTGGGGCCCAATGCCCGGATGAACAGCTAAATCTTGGCTGAAGGGAGGGCTTTCCAACCACAGGCCTGTTTTCCAGGTCCATGTTGTTGGTGTTCTTAGGGGAGAGATAAAAAGAGGAGGATATGGAAGTTGTGCAGGACATGATTTCAGTATCTCTGCATTTAAAAAGGAAAGGGTTGGCTTCAAACAATAATAAGCAAAGCGTTTACATGCTAAACATATTCCTCCTCACCTGGCAATCTGTGCCTTTCCTCTTATACACTGCAAGGTCAAATGTAATTTGTTTTGTATAGTTTTCAAATCAGAAACTTGAATAAAAACATACTTCACTGAAATGAAAATGTTAAACACATAAAAGCATTAAGAGTAGTGTGCAATAGCTTTGCTAATGTGAAATCTGGGATATTAAAATAAGTGACAGATCTTCCCATCTATTTTTAAAATGTTATTTGATAAGAGAGAACTTCAAGGTGCGTTTAACCTTGACTTAAAGTTTAGAGATGGAAAACTCATGAGAAGGGAGCAAAAATCTTTTTTTCCTGCATAATCAGAAGGATTTGAAATAATGTATTCATGTAATTTTGGCATATCCATATTAAATTGAGAAACATATCCACCAGCCTTGGAACATTTTCTTCCCTTTTATCTGGGTTGTGATCACACACCAAAGTAATTATGACATTTCTTTTGGAAGCTAAGTAGTGGATTCATCTCTGGAGGTAACCCCGTACCTATTTTGTCACCAGTTGAGATGCAACCATAAGGCAGGAGGCACAGATCCAAAGATTCCGTCTCCCAAATGGACTCCATGATTCGCAGAATCTGGCACCACAACATAAAACATTTCCATTATAAAGAAATACTTTACTTAGCATAATTTGGCTCCATATCTGATAATGCAAAGGCATAAATTACATAAGTAATGGCTCCTTCTATTTCTCATTCTGACACTCTAGTGATTCCCTTCTCTGACAGCCGAATTTGGTCCCAATTCTAATCCTTCAGGAAGAGGACAGAGGATGTCTCTTGGGGAAATGCTGTAGCCCTGCTTCATCATCTACATTCCCAAATGTTCCATTCTAAAACCTTTAATATATTTTAACCTCTCAAGCTACAACCAAAGCAACTCTAACAGCAAAACTGATACTGATCCTTACCGTCACTAAGTGTGTTAACCCTGTAATGGGGATATAATTATCATCTCCTCTCCACAGATAAAAAATCACTAGCTTAAATCACTTTTCCTTAGCTGCCAAGCTGTGTGCCTCAACAAGAAAACAAAGTTCACAGAGTACAGTGTTTCCCTCAAAATAAGGTTTTAAAGCCATAAAGTGTTTTTTTCAGGAGCCCATTTTAAAATAATAAAACGTTCCATGAATGAATTTGAAATTCAGTGAACTTTCAGAAGGTGTGAAGGATATTTTAAATACCTCTGGATAAAAATATGCACTGTTTGGGGATGGAGGAGAAGGATGAAATCTCAAAGGCACACAGTTTGAATCTACCAGTAGCTCCACGGGAGAAAGACTGGCAATCTCCTCCCATGAAATTAACTGCCTCTGAAAACCTGTTGGAGTGTCAGCTACGGGTCAGTCGACTCCCACTCGATGGCACACAACAACATTGCAAAGAAGTAAAAGCAGAAACAAAACTGAAGAAGTGACCAGCTTTTAGACTATGGCGGCTTGGTAAGGAGTTGTGCTGCCAACTCAAAGGTACGCGGTTCAAATCTACCAGGGACTCAGGGTCAGCTTTAAAAAGGTTCTGACTCAAAGGCTTATAACAACAACACTTAAATCTGAAAGGACTTTGCTTAGAGTCTATTTTAAAGAAATCATGTCTTTATTTTGTTAACTATGTTCAACATGTTACCTTTATAATACTGAACAACTGAAAACTACCACTGTACAAATATGCAAAGCTGAAGTTTATCCAGAAATGTTAGACAATATGGAAATAATCTGCATTTATACTATTAACATTCACCTCTGTTTATAATCCACAGCTGTTACTTGACTATATTTCTCCCAGCCACCTACAGCTCCTCTTCTCTCTCCTTTGTGTCTAATCATTCATGAGTTCATGCATGTGCAAGTATATTTAAGAAGAGATGTATCTTCTACTGTGTAGATATTTTATGAATACATACAGTGTGCTCTAGGGGACAGAGTAGAGCCTTACTACGAGGAAGATCTTTAAAAGGATGGATTGATATGGTGACAGCAACAAGGAGCTTCCATATAGCAGAGATTGTGTGGACAGCACTGCAGTTCTCACAGCACAGCAGCGGGTAGGTTTTGTTTTGCTGTACAAAGGGTCGCTCCGAGTAGGAGCTGCCTCAATGGCACCTATCAACAATAGAGGGAGGGTAAATAGAGTGCGTGAAAGTGAGCCTTGGTGAGGTGATTATACCTGGCTATTTGGAGCTGCATCTTCTCAGGAAAGGGGAGTTATGGCCACCAGATTGCCTATCTTATGGCCCACAGCCATATTTCCCACTTGAAAACTTGATTATGGAATTTTTGATCTCTGTTCATCATACAAAAAGAATGGTACTAGAGTCAGTAGATGAAATTTTTAGATCTAATATAGAATCCTCTTTTCAGATAACTGGCGTCTAGGGTGGTGGTGGTGGTGGTGGGGAGGACTAACAATAGCATACCTGCAAAATCAGCATGTCTTGACGGAGGTCGTCTCCATGTTTAAAGATGATTCCAATGGTTTCATTTGACAGGGCGGTAGGGTCAGCACACTTAAACTCCAGCCACAGGGGCTTTTTCTTAGAGGCCATCACTTTACATTTCTCAATCTGTAAGAAAGTATTTTCATTATCAACATGCATTCTCATGCAAACTGTCACTATATACAACCAAGTTCAACTTTGAAAAATTATTTTCAATTATTTGAAACTTGAATAATCTGCTACTGGAAATGGAAAATGATATTGTTATTGTTAGGTGTCATCATGTCAACTCCGACTCATAGTGACCTATGAACAACATATCTGAACTTTGCCCTATCTTGTGCCATCCTCACAATCTCCTCCCCCACACACTGTTACAGTCACTGTGCCAATCCATCTGGTTGAGGGTCATTCACTCTTTCTCTAACCCTCTACCTTTCCAAGCATGTCTTTTTCCAAAGACTGTCCAGTCCTGACAACATGCCCAAAGTATGTGAGACAGAAGTTTCACCATCTGATCCAGATACTACTATTCACTTTATAAGTAAATGGAACCAAATGATGGTAGGTTTTAGACAGGGGATGTTTTCTGTTGTTATGTGCTTTTATGTGCTTTTGAGGAGCTCTGTTTGACAGCGGCATCAGAAATAATAGAATTTTTTTTTGTCCTGCACCATCCTGTCCATTGTCTTAATTCACCTCATTAAGGTCTCCTTTCTCGAGGACTTTCTGCTTTACTAAGAATGATGTTCTCCTCTAGTGGATGGTCCCTCATGATAACATGTCCAAAGCAAGACAAAGTCTCACCATTCTCACGCCTACAGAATATTCTGGCTATACTTCCTCCATGGCAGATTTGCTTGTTCTCTGGCAGTCCGTGGCATAGGCAATATTCTTCTCCAACACAGTAATTCAAATGCAACAATTTTTTTGTCCTCTTTTTTTATGATCCAGCTTTCCCATGCTATGAAGCGACTGAAAATATCAGGATGTGGGGCACCTTAGTCTTACAAGTAACAGTTTTGTTTCCTAATACTTTGCAGCTTACTTCACCAGTGCAGCATGTTGTTTGGTATCTTGACTGCTGCTTCCATGGACACTGATTATTGATTCAAGAAGAATTAACTCCTTCTTGACAATTTCAATTTCTTTGACATTTATCATGATGCTGCTTACCTTCCCAGTGCTAAGTATTTTCATTTTCTTCATTTATTTGCTCATTAGTAAGTGTTTCAGGTCTGAGGAGTCTTCATTTATGGTTGTTGTTGTGTATTGTCGAGTCAGAACTGACCCACAGCCGACCCTTAAGAGGGTTTCCAGAGGCAGTTAATTGCCTAGGAGGAGACTTCCCATCACTTATGGTAAAGAAAGCATGTAATCTGCACAGAGTTTGTTAATGAGTCTTTCTTCAATCCTGATGGCACCTTCTTCTTCATCTTGTTCACTTTCTTGGACTGTTTCATATACAATGAATAAGTAATGTGAAAGACTGTCACTTTGCCTTACACCTTTTCCAATTTTAAGCCATGCAGTATCTCCTTCTCTCCAGATGGCTTTTGATCTGCATAGTGTTTCTACACATGCAAGATAAAGTGTTTTGGAATTCTGATTCTTCTCACTGTTATCTATAATTTGTTATGATCCATACAGGCCAGTGCCTTTACACAGTCAATGAAACACAGAATATAGTATTACTCAGCTATGAGAAAAGAAGAGTTTACTGATACATATATACAGCATGGATAAATCTGGAAAGTGGTATGCTAAACAAAAGAAGCCTGAGACAGCCTGTAAACTGTATTATTTTAATTAAATTATTGAAAAGGTAAAGTTACCTGACAAAGCAGACTTGTTGACTGGGGCTCAGAGAAAAGGAATGACTGCAAAATGTCCATCTTGGAGTTGAAAATATTCTGTATCTTGTTTGTAGTGGTGATGATGGGATTATATACATTTTAAATGTACTGAAGTGTACACTTAAAATGAAACATTTTTTATACAAATTAAACCTCAATAGAGTATATGTGAAACAAAATGGATGTTACCTCAATGTTGAGTCTTTAAGTAGCCAGTGATTAGAGATAGGCTTGACAGAAATCCATACTAGGACTCTTCAATGTCCTTATCACTATAGAAATGCTAGCTTTTAAACTACCACCCCACCAAAGCATACAGAAACATGTTCACAACATAAGACTACATACAGACATCAAGCCGATACCTACCACCAGAGCGCCAGCTTTGAGTCCAGGGTCATATGGAACTCTAAAACTTTTAGGGAGATTAGAATTCTGCAGATTTTCAAGCTTTTGCTTAAGTTGTAAAATAACTGTAATTGCCAAAAAGACACAAACGTTATATGAGTTCACAAAAATTAACAGTATTACCTATAACATTTCCTGACACCTGACTTTTTCCTAGTATTCTATACGCTTGGTCTTATGTTGAACAGGGGAAGAGGGTAGTTTTTTTGCCTTTGAGGAGGTACCCATTTGAGGTGCAAGTTAAATTAGCTTACTGTGTGCAACATACACACAAATGTTGCAACAGAGATAAAACTAAGTGGATGTATATGGAATAGCACACAGACAACCACAGAGACAGGAAGGGAAGGATGCTTTCAGTGCACTGCTAAAGAATCAATGCTGCAGTTCTCATGCCAACACGTACAACTTCTAAGTGTCACCTGATTTGGGGAACAGATATCTGAAGATGACATTTAATGGAACTAAGTTACATTTCGGTAAATTCTTTTCCAAAGAGGAAGTTAAGTTGCATGAAGATATGACAGCCTAGAAATTTTAAAGGTAAAACTTTTTAGCTGAAGAATTGCTGCATGGATAGTAGACTGGAGACCAGACAAGTTTCTTCTTTTTTTACTTATAATAAAAACAAAAGTTAAGATCATTGTTACCATTATTGTTTCAGGGAAAAGACCATTATTAGCATATTAGAAAAGAAAAAACACAGAGCAAATCAAATGGAGAAATTGAAAATGTTCAGAAGTTTAAATTGCTGGCTGAATATTTTAGAAAGTGCCTACTATGAACTAAGGAAGCAATGGTAGTCTAGTGGTAAGAAGTTGTGGCGCAAGTCCAAAGTCACAGGGTTCAAATCCACCAGTTGCTCCACAGAAGGATGGGCAATCTCTTCCCATGTGATTTACTGCCTCTGAAAACCTGTGAGAGGGTCAGCGATGGGTCGGTTTCAACTTGATGGCATAAGACAGCAACAATTATGAGCTACCATTCTAGGTCTAGGTATATATGAGTAAGTGATATCCCCTAGCCTCAAGACTACTGCAGTTGAACAGATAAAAAAGATGTACCAGAGACTATGAATGACTACATTTAAATTTAGGTCTACTTCTTTCAAAGCATGTTACTTTTTCCTCTTTGTAATTCAGTTTCCATAAATTAAAAGGCCAATGTTAATCTGGCCTCCATCATACTTATTGGATGATAATGATAATATATGTTGTTGTTGTTATGTGCCGTCGAGTCGTTTCTGACTTATAGCGACCCTATGCACAACAGCTCTAAACCCTGCTCTATCCTGCGCCAACCGCACCGCCTCTGACACACCCATCCCGACTACCCTA